GGATTTTGCCCTGACTGCTGGACCGTGGGTGATCTTAGAGTATTATTTGGTGATTCGCTCTTGGGAACCTGATTTTCAGCCGTTCACTGCTGCGATCAACAGAGTACTAGCATGGGTAAGACTTCCTCAATTTCCTATTGAATATGTTAATACCGAGCTTGTAAAAAGTATTGGGAATTGGATTGGTAGATTTGTCAAACTCGATGCAGCAACTACATCTCTGGCAAGGGGTCGTTTTGCAAGAATCTGTGTGGAGCTGGACCTTAGTAGACCAATGTATGCTGAATATAAAATAGAGGGAAGGCTTAAGAAGATAGAGTATGAAGGGCTGCATATTGTTTGTTATTCTTGCGGGCAATATGGCCATAGGGCTGAAAAATGCTCTAAAGGTTTTGATGTGAACGGCAGTGAAGGAAAGGAAGATGAAGCTGGAAATGGGGATAAGGGAATTGCTAAGGAAACAAAGGTATGTCATAACCAGAATATGGATGCTAGTTAAGGGAATTGCTAAGGAAGCTGGAAATGGGGATAAGGGAATTTTGGTCCTTGGATGCTAGTTAATAAACATAAAGGAGTGAGGAAAGTGACTAACAATAAAGTGGTAGATAGCAAAGGTATGGATTCTAATGCTAAAGTTGGGCGACAGAATAATAGAGTTCATTTTAATGTACTGAGACAGCTAGAGTCTGAAAGTGAGGATTTGCGTAATGTGGAGTTTATTAAGGAGACCCAATTTGTTTTGGAGAAAGATCAGGTGGAACAAAATAAAGAAAGGGGGAAGAAGGCCGCAAATGATAAGGCAAAATTAATTGAGACATCTAAAGCATATCAATTAGTTTGGGACAACATACAGAAGTCTGATGATTATAATAAAGATGATAGGGTCGATAATGTGGCCATTATGGTTGCACAGCTTAAAAACAAAGAGGAGGAGATCATCAAGGATCAAGGGAATAACCAGAATGGTACATGAATTGAGCAACCTGGGCAAACTTTTAGGAAGTCCAACATGCAGAATTCAAAGGAGCTGGCTTCAATCCAAACAAGTTTGGTGCATTCTGAACCAGTCATAATTCTTCCTAAGGACACTCAAATGCTGGAGTCTGAAGGAACCCCTGAACCAAAGCCTCCAGACCGTGGTCTTAGGGAGCGTGTGGAACTGATTAAAGGGCAGGATCAGTTGAGTCAAGTAAGTTCAGGTATGGTTATTGATATAGATGGTGCAATGAATAGGGATAGTTTGTCGCAGGTTCAAGAACAACCTGTAACCTCTCCTATGGTGTCTTAATGTCTTTGCTTTTCTGGAATTGTAGGGGTGCGGCCAACCCCAAAATTGGCCGAACTCTTAAGATGATGGTAGATAAGTATGCAATTGATATTGTGATTTTACTAGAAACTCGAGCTAAGAGTGAGAAGTGTAAAGCCATTATGAACAAGTTGCATTTTGATAAAGGTATTTTTGAGGAAGCAGTTGGCTATTCTGGTGGTTTATGGGTGATTTGGAACTCAAAAAAAGTGAAGGTGGATAGGTAATCTCAATCTAATCAATTAATTCATATGTGGATTGATTATGGGGATAATAGACGATTTTTCTGTACTATGCTAGTCCTAGGGAGGATCAGAGACATATGTTGTGGAATGAAGTGAAGCTGCTCCAACAACAGATGAATGGGCCTTGGTTACTAGCTGGTGATTTTAATGATATAAGATATAATAATGAGAAGATTGGAGGTTCTAGAGTGGACGAAGCGAAATGTCTCAGATTTGATGCTTTTTTGAATGATTGTGGGGTGGATGATATTCGGTGGTCTGGTCCAAGATTTACATGGCAAGGGCCGAAATGGGACCATTTGAATAGAATTTTTAAAAAATTAGACAGGGCTTGTGCAACTGTGGATTGGAGGATTAAATTTGAAAATTCAGTGGTGCAAGTGCTTCTGAGAATAAATTCGGATCATAATCCTTTGTTGGTTAAACTGGATTCCTAGGTGAAGTTATGGCAACCTAGGCCATTCAAATTCCTTGCAGGGTGGATGGACCATCCAAATTTTGGAGATTTCATGAAGGAGAAATGGAATAAAGGAAAAAATTTGAATCAAATGATTGCTGATTTTACTCCTTTGCTTCAATTGTGGAATAAATCAGTGTATGTGGATATAAATAAGAGGAAGGCAATGTTATCTAGGAAAATTGCTGATATTCAAGGTCAAAGAGCTACTTCGGATTGTCAAATTCTAGCTGATATGGAAGATCAAGTTCAAATGGAGCTTAATTTTATACTTGAACAAAAGGAGATGATGTGGTTCCATAAATCTAGACAAAGCTGGATAGTTGATGGTGATAAGAATACAAGATTCTATCATTTTAAAGCAGTTATTCGAAGGAGTTCTAATAAAATTTGCAGGCTCAGAAATGAGACAAACCATTGGATTGATGACTCTCATGAGTTAAAAACCCATGTGTGCAAGTTTTATCAGAAATTATTTGAAGAAGAGAAAAGAGAGAGGAGATGGTTATCTTCAGCAAACAAATGGCCCGTTATACCTACAAAAGTTAGTAATGATTTGTTAAAGATTCCTAGTTTCCAGGAAGTTTCTAATTTGATGTTTAGCATGGGGGCTTACAAAGCTCCAGGAACTGGGCTCGGCCTGAAGGGCCGGCCTACCAAATATTTTTATAATTAAATTTAAATTTCATCCTTCTTCTTTTATAATTAAATTCCTAAATCTGATTTATTTTTGTAAATATAAATTTGTAAAATTTCAAATACAAACGACACAAATCTTTGCAAAAAACAATTATTTATTGTTATTTTTTAAATCAGATTGTAATAAATGAAAGTCCATCTCTGAGATAAAATATAAAAACTTAGATGCAAATATAAGAACTTTTTCGTGTGGATAAATATAAAAATTTATTACATGCTGGTATATAATGCTGACAATTAGAGGTTGCAAAGTGGAGTCGGTCCGGAGGACTGGCCCGCCTATATTTTTTGTAATTAAATTAAAATTTTCCTATTCTTCTTTTTATATTAAACATAATAACTCAAAAATTTGCCAACTCTATATGTACAAAATGTTGGAGTTAGGTACCTAACAATATTGATTTAAATAAAATGCAGAGATATATTTTTATGATTTGCATTAACTGTTACGAGACAGACAAACATATTTCTTTTTTTCCCGTGCATCGCACGAGTTATACTTAATTTTGAAGGAGTTTTTTTTATGTAGGGTGCTGATTTGGAACATTATTCAAGAAAACTTAATGTTCTTAATGAAAAATCCATGTTATTTAAGGTCAACGTAAAAAATAATAATTTGGAGTCATATAATGAGCCAAGATATCAAGTTTCAAGTGTTTGAAGCAGCGAAACTATTGTCACCTCATTCTTTAAGTCTTTGGTGGACCCAAATGTATGCTGTTGTTTATTAAAAATTTATCATTGTGGGTTCTTTATATTGTTACAAGTTTTTAGCATATGTATTGATTTGATGCTGTTTAGACACATTTGTTCCAATGTAAGCCAAAAATATGACTCATACATGACCATTTGGTTAATTTGCTTTCAAATCCCTTTCAGACAACATTTTTTGGGTTCTAAAAAAAAAATAACCCATTTTTTTTGCTGAGATTATTACTTCTGGGTGTTAACATATTAACGTAATTTATTTAATGAGCATTTGCATTTTGTATCGTAGGCATAAATATGATGGTAGAAGATGATGTCCCTGGTAATGCATAAACATATGAAATCACATGTTTGGTATGTGTTGAACTCATCCCTCCAATGATTGCTACAGAATGACACTGAATTAATAGCGATTTCTTATTATAGGTACAAGCTGATCTTTTAATTCCATATTTGTTTGGTCTGTTTGTTACCTTGATTTTATTAGTGGCTGTTATAGTTAGCAATAAGTTGTATGCATTTTTCTTTTTTTAGTCATCCTCATTTTAACATAGTCTACCATGGCGTATTTATTTTTTACATAACTCATCGAGTAGATAACTATATTTGATTTGCATAATATTAATCACTCTGGATAGTAGATTTTTGTTTATGGTTGATATTTGCAAAGTTCTGTGTCAATGCTGTAGTTTTTTTCACCTGAAATATAGAACAAGATAACAACACAGATTTTAGTAAGTATAAGGTTTGCAGTGCAATTAACCAACCACGACGGACGACAAATATTTTGTTATTTTTCTCCCAGACATTGCACGGATAATTCACTAATAAGCTTATATTATAAAACCTTATACGTTATATCAAAGAGGCCCTAAGGATAGTTTAGTTGCTGTCGCGGGTTTCGATGTAAATTCTGAAGCATCTACGGCTTTTCATTTGCTGGAAGCAAATAAGGCTACCTTGACAGAAGGGAGTTCCATTGGGGACAAGGCCATTATTGCTGATGTTCTTGCTTTGAAGGCATCAATTCATACTACTTTATGGCCAATATTGGTTCGTTTTCAAAGTTATTAATGAAAATATCTCAATCTTGAAGCACAGTTTTCATGATGTCAAGCTATGAAGTCCTTGAATATTGAAGATCTCAACAAGTGCTAAGGATGCCAAGAATTAAGATTGAAGACCATTTTGTATATAATAAATTTAATTAGGATAATCTTGTAACATCCATGGTCGTTCAAACACATGTGGTGGTTCTTGCTCCCAGGTAAATTGCATATCATTCGTTGCATAAATTGGATTTTCGTATGGCTAGATTTTAAGAAATTTGTTATGTAGCACGCAAAATGTTAGTTAAAGGATTTCATTGCATGAGTGAGCTCGTCTTCTTTATCTTTTTCTTTTCTTTTACCTATACCCACCTTCGGTGTCACTATCCTATTCACTCATTTGTTTCTTTTTTTATCAAATGTTCCAAAGTCATCTTTATCCTCCGTTAGTCACAACACTCTCCAACCTAATCTCGTGGCTATCTCTTCAAGCATTCCTAGCCATTGGCCATTGGATCTTTCCAAAATCGTGTAGCTCACATTCTATCTTGTACCTACATACATAAACACAAAAGAAAAATAATTTTTTTTTGGAAAGAAAAAAATTCTTTACACGCTCTCTACCCACGCGAGCTTCCTTCTTCCTCATATAGTTGTTTTTTTTTTTTTTTTTTCATATAGTTGTTTTTGTGCTGCACCTTTTTCACATATTGTGGAGCCTTCTTCGTTGAAAAGTCACGTATCAAGAGAGAAACTATTAGAGGAAAATAAAATCATTATTGTAGTCTCATGGCTTAAACTTTTGGTTTAAAATGATTCTTTATATGGTATCAAAGTCTCTATGACCAAATGATTACGAGTTCGATCCTCAATATCCCATATTATATTATAATAATTAAATATTATGAATTTTTTAGCATAGGTTTATGGATCAGATGCATTGTTCACTTTTTGAGCCCAATAAGTTATCATGGCTGCATGTGCTGGAATTGCACCATGATTTGTCATGATTTTGAACCGGATATTTATGCATCCACATACTTCGGATGACAAATTTGCCCCGTTGTCTGATTTGATTTAAATCCGTCGTCGTTTTCAAAGAACGAAAAATTTCAAATCCAACATTTTGTTCATCCTGATCTTTACCAATCATCAAAAGCATACAATAAACGTATTTGGTTTCATTGTGACCAATCAGACGTATTTGGTTTCATTGTGACCAATCAGTGCTGCAGTGTTGAAATTTTCAATAGCCACCTTATCGCGCAAAGAACAACAACTTTGTTGGTAATATTGTACCATTCCTTCACGGTATAAAATTTCTAGGTTGCCACTCCCCCTATAATGTTTCAAAAACTATAATTGGCGGTCTTTGTTGTACCGTTCCTCTGGCATCATTACCCACTCAAACAACCCCTTGAATTCCTCTTAAGGGTCGCCGTGACAATCGTTGACTACTTCATGAAGAAACGGTCTTTGCGTGGTAGTTGAAGTCATTGGCAAACATGCAAATTTCTCCAACGATGCATTTTATACACCAAATCATGGGCTTTTTGACCCTTATGCCCCTTAATTAATAATTAATTACCAAATTGCCCCTCATTCAAAACTATTTCGAAAATTTACCCTCCCCAACAAACATAACACCAATCTGCCCCTGTTTGACCGTTGACCACGAAGCCTACCCGGGTACACCATTATCTACCCGGGTAAATTTTGAAACTTTTTATCTACCCGAGTATGTAGGGATGTACCCGGGTAGAGTTCTTGAATCTGGGAAAATGTATGAATTATTTACCCGGGTACGTAGAAGTGTACCCGGGTAAATCGCGACGGTAGGGTTTTAAAATACCCCAGCAGCGCCATTCGAAAACCCACAAAAGGGGTACCCGAGTAGAGCTGCTGGAGGAGTGTCATCTTGACGATGATGACAATGGGGATGACACACAATCGGATGAAGAGAATGGGGAGGACACGGCATCGGATTAGTGTGTCCATAGGGTTTCATATCATTGATTTAGTTTGATGTAATGTAGTCATTTTGGTACATTTAGGAACTTTACCTACATTGCATGGATGTTTTTGTACTGGATGTTCAAAATTTGAATGAATGAAATTTTCGTTTTGCGCACGTTCAGACTTGTTGGTTCTATGCATTAGTATGGGACCTTGCATTAATATTGTCATAATTAATTTGGAAATCAATTCAACCCAAAGTAGTTTATTATTCATTTTCAACTTTGATTGGCGCACATCTTGATTACTGCATCCTATTTCTACGAAATCAATCCACCCCCAAGTCATACCGTATGTAGGTATTGCACAACAATTACCAAAATGCAACAAAAATTGCCAAAACAGCATCTGCAACAGCATCTGCAACTGGTCTACCCGGGTACCACGAATAGTCTACCCGGGTAAGATGTACTCGGGTATATCATTACGAGTTACCCGGGTAGACCAGTTGCAGATGCAGCAGCAGGTGCTGTTCAATCCATTTTGTTAGCATCTTGGTAATTGATGTGTAATACAATAACCTTAACTGACTCGGGGAAGGGGTAAATGGGTATGGTAGACATTCGGATTGCACAATACGGAACGAGTGACTCGCTAAACTTAACGGATACATTTCAACAATACATTTCAACAACACAAGAATACAGTTCAACAATACATTTCAACAACACAATACATAACTAATACAAGATAAAGTTTAGGGTACAAGGAAACAAAACAATACGTAAAGTGATTGTCATTACAAAACAAAGTACTACACAAAAACAATACGTAATCATGCTTGTCTTAGTCTCAATGGACATGTACGAATGTTATGTCCAACTTGCTTGCAATGCTTACATCTGCTCTGACTGCTAGAGGGTTGAGACTCAACCCAATCCATCTCATTCTGAATCCTTGAAGACTTTGGTCTTCCTTTTGCACGTACCAACTGAGCATCCGGAATTACAGTAGGCCCAACAACGGATGGAATCAACAATTCATTGCCAATAGGAAACCAGTGTGCAGCATATACTTTAGCAATGGTTGGAATTTTGAAAACATGATCCACATAATCATAATGGTTTAGCTTGGCTACCTTGCAAACTGCTAATACATGACTGCAGGGATACCTCCTTGCTGTAAACCTACCACACTGACATGTACGATTGATTAAGTCCACTCTCATGATGTCACCGACCTCGTGTGTAGATTGATTGTAGGCATCCTCAACCTCAAACAATAACAGGTCACTATCATATATCCTCACACGATAAGTGCCAGCCAATTCATCATTTTTTTGCAACGCTGCCTCAACCTTCTTTGAAATTATCCAACCTTGTGAGATATCTTTTTCAATCCCTTCACGTCTCTTGACGAAATACTCAACGAGTCTACTGAATGTCATCTTGACCAATGCAGATATAGGCAGATTTCGTGCTCCACGAAGCACCTTATTCACACACTCAGATAGGTTAGTTGTCATATGACCAAACCTACGTCCTGTCTCATCATACGACCTGCACCATTGCTCTTTCGGAATCGCATCCAACCATGAAGCAACTTCAGGATTGTTCTCGATAAATTCCTTGTACCTAATGTCGAAATTTATCTTTGAACATGTGTACCCTGCAAAAAACCATGACATATGCATAGGTTAGTGAATTTCACCACCGTTTTCTTCAAATGGTTGAAAATGTGAGTAATTATACCGTACATTACCTAATTTCATCAACGTTTTCTTCAATTCCACATTCCTAAAACGGGTATTGAAGTTGCTTCCGATGTGACGTAGACAAAATACATGATAAGCATATGGAGGCTGCCACCCTCCGTGGTCTTTCACCGCCCTTATGATGCTTCGATGACGATCGGATATTAGACAAATACCATGCCTATGTGTGACATGAAAACGTAAAAGGCTAAGAAACCAGGACCAATCATCCAACCTCTCACCTGGAGGAACAACAACAAAGTCAATAGGGATGAGCTCAGAAATTATTTACAGTATGAAGTGGCAAAGAAGGGTCACATGCTTTCACATACCCCAAAGCAAAATTATTTACTCACCTGGAGGAACAACAGCAAAGGCAATAGGGAGCAGAAATCCATCTCCATCCTGAGATGTTGCAATCAATAGAGTACCTCTGTACTTCCCATACAGATGAGTGCCGTCAATTTGAATTATAGGCTTGCAGTGTTTGAATGCTTCAATGCATTGGTGAAATGTCCAAAAAACCCTTTGAAATACGGCCCTGTCTGTATAAACCCGACGTTCATCAAAACATTGATTTGTATCAAGTTTGAACACAGAACCCACATTCACCTCCGTCATATACTTCAGCCAATTTGGCAAGAATGCGTACGATTTCTCCCAGTCACCAAACAACTTAACGATGGCCTTCATTTTTGCCTTCCAGGCCTTCCTGTACGTTATGTTGTATCCATATGTTCCCTGTATCCTCTCCTGTATCAGAGCTGGTCTTGTGGATGGATCTTCCTTTAACATATCTGGAAAAAAAAATTAACTTTACCATATTCTCAATTAATCTGAATCATTAAATAAACAGTGGAATACATACTCATTATAGCCGCACAAATGACATTTGAATCCAACTGTCTATGATCCTGTGCTAGGCCTTGATTTAGGCATGTGTGACCTTGACCCCATTTACGTACCACCCAGTTAGCTCCCTTCTTCGGCTTAATTGCCCTCATATACCAGGGACAACCGTCAGCATGGTTTTTACACTTCATAACAAATCTTGACTCGTCGCTTTTTTCAACTATGGCTGTCCTGCGCCCCTTCATACAATGTATCTTCACAGCATGTTGCAATTCTGGTTTGGACCCAAATTCTTGTTGCACAAATAACGGATCTCCTAACTTCCAACCTCCGTGCAAGTCATCATCGCCATATAGGATCTCCAACTCGTCATTAGGGTGCGCCCAGTTAATGAATGAATAATGTTGGCTTTCATTCCAGAATGGCTCCTCAGACCCTGCATCTAAAGATCATGTCAAATTTAATAACTTACCACAAATAATAAATTGTCTAAAGCAAATATTCAAATTTAATAACTTACCACTACTGACTGGGTCGACATGAAGTGGTGACAAGGCTGGGGTACCGAGACTTACGGCGCTCATGTCAGCCTCAAAATTACCGTCCACGTCAGTGTCTGACGAATCACCTTCTGGAATAGCACTTTCAGGTTCTCCCTCATCTTCGCTGTCCACATAGTCCTCGTCTTCATCCTCTTCATCCTCATCCCATGCTACCTGAGGAGGTGCAGAAGATCGTACAACTGTATCTTCTTGACCGGTACAGTGTGCAGTAGTGGTTGTATGCACCGGTAAAGATGAAGATTGTCCAACATCAACTTCAACATATATCTCAATATATTTTAATACTTTCCATTCAACAAACGCATCTGTTACGAACTCCACATCTTCATCATCATTTATATCGTTTCCAATGTAGTATATTGTATCCATATCCACTACAGTCTCTAACCTGGCTATCATGCGGTGGATGGAATGTATGCCTTCTGACCCCATTTTTTGAAGAATTCTCTCCTTCAGTTCATTGCATGTAGTGCCCACTTTGATTTTCATCGTTTTTGTTTTTC